CCTTGGCGTAACCGTCAACAGCGAAACGCCTGGGCGAGCTTCTGTTGCACTCATCTCGTCAGAGAGTGCAGGTTGCGACGGCCATGAGTCTGGTTTGAGTATCCATGGTGGTCCCGTCCACCAAAGTGCGTGGTTTTGAAGCTGAGCAGTTGTGAGGCCTCGTGATGCGCAGTCAGCCGGATTAGAAGTTCCAGGTATGTATCTCCAGTGAGCAGCTGAAGTGAGTTCTTGAATTTGAGCCACCCTGTTCCTGACGAAATCCTTCCAGCGTGATGCATGAGATCTGATCCACGAGAGTGTCACTAGAGAGTCCGTCCACATATGCGTTGCCGTAACGTCCATGTTCAAGGTGGCTGTGACGTATTGCATGAGCCGAGAGAGCAGAAGAGCAGCCGTGAGTTCAAGTCGCGGGATTGAGAGCCGCTTGAGAGGTGCTACCTTAGTTTTGGAGCACACAAGTGAGAACGTGGCGCCGTCTGAGTCGTGGACGGATATGTATATGACTGCAGCCATTGCCAATTGAGAAGCATCAGAGAATCCATGGAGTTCCACTTGCGAGTCGCTCCATGTATTGAGCCACCGAGGTATTGAGAGTCTGGCCAGACTTGTGAGTTCTTCTCTGATGGAGAGCCACCGGGTTGAGAGCTGGGATGGCAGTGGATCATCCCATTGGAGCTTGTGCAGCCACAGCTCCTGCAAGAGAATTTTGGCCTTGATCACGACGGGTGATGCAAAGCCAAGTGGATCGAATATCTGAGCCACTTCAGATAATACGAGGCGTTTTGTGAGTCTGCCGTCCTTGCGTGAGCTTCGTGTTGAGAATGCAAAGGTATCTTCTTGAGGGAGCCATTTAAGTCCGAGTATCTTGGTTGCGCAATCGTCGAATGTGATTGGTAAGCCTTGGTCTTCGCTGTCGGTGACAGTCTTGAGTATGTCTAGATGAGTAGCATGCCATTTTGCCAGTGGAAAGCCGCCCGCCATGCAGAGGCCCTTTAGTTGATGTGCGACCTCCTGCAATTGTTGAATCGTATCTGCACCACCAAATATGTCATCGACATACCTGCCATGAGTGATGGATGGCACAGCCAATGGATATTTATGTCCTTCGTCCTCTGCTAATTGTAACAGCGTCCTAACGGCCAAGAACGGCGCGGCCTTTGTCCCGTAGGTGACGGTTGTCAGATGATATGGCACTTCATTGAGTTGATCGTCCATCCAGAGTATCCGTTGCAACTCCCAGTCATCCTTGTGAATTTTGATCTGCCTGTACATCTTGGTGATGTCCGTAGCGAAAATGTGACGGTGTCGTCGTATCCAGAGGAGAACATCTGAGATATTCAGATGCAATTTCGCTCCAGTATACATGAGGTCGTTAGCAGAGTAGCCCGATGTTGATGCGCTGGAGCCATTAAATACGACTCGCAGCTTCGTTGTTGTACTGTCAGGCTTGAGAACACCGTGATGTGGCAGGTAGAAGTGTGAGCGACGACTGGAGATGGATGATGCCTTCGTCATGTGGTTGAGCGTTTCATAATCCATCATGAATTGTTGATAGAGCCGTCGATAGTTCACATCCCTTGAGAATCGTCTGCGTAGCCCCTTGAGGCACTGATGGGCGACGTGGTAAGAGTCACCCAGAAGATCTGCTGGTGATTTGAGCGGAATCCTGACGACGTACCTTCCAGATGGGTCACGAGAGTGTGTGGCCTTGAAGTGCTCTTCGCACCTCTGCTCGTCAGGAGTGAGTTGGTTGACATCGTGAGTGGGCACCTCCTCTTGAACCCAGAATTTTGTCAGTAACTCGTTGAGATCATCCTCGTTGACTTGAGTAGAAGCATGGTGCGTTGATGTGCGTGTTGCTTCCTTCTTGACTGGTCCCAGAACGAGCCATCCGAAAATGGAGAGTTGCGCTATCGGCATGAGTGGAGAATGCCTGATGACGTTGGGCTTGATGATTTGCCCGTATGCGTCTGCGCCGATGAGGATGTCAATTGGCCGTGGGATGAGAAAATCAGGATCGGCTAATGCCAAGTTCCTGAGATGCGGCCATTCTTCCGGTTCCGCCTCGAACGATGGTAAGATTGATGTAACTGTCCGGAGGACATGAGCTTGAATTGTGGCAGCTGCGTTGGAATGTGTCGAGCGTAACGTGAGTGACACGACTCCTCGTGTCCGAGTACACTCCTTGCCTGCAATTCCAGTGATGAGAAGACCTGAGTATTGACGAGGGATGTTGAGCTGCCGAATGAGATTCTCCGAGACGAAGGTGAGCTCGGATCCTGTGTCAATGAGCAGACGCGCTGAATGTTGTACTATCGATGAGCTAATCACTGCCAAGGCTGTGGCGAGTAGAGTCGAGTATGATGAGCGGGCGTTTGAGCTGGCTTCGACGACTGCACCGTCTTCTTATGTTGCGGGCGTGCCCGACGAGCCGCCAGGCTTTTGAGCGGTCGAAGTCGTTGCAGATGCGTCGTGGAGCATAGTGTGGTGCCGCTGCGAACACTTCTTGCACCCGCGCTGGGACTTGCATGCCCGCACGCTGTGCCTCCCCAGGCAATTGAAGCACAAGCGCTTGTCGATTGCCACCTTGTGCCGGGCTGATGGCGACAGCTCCCGAAACTTCGTGCACATCACGATGAAATGTTGCGCGTTGCAACAGTCGCATGGGTACGACGAATCGCCCTGCTGAGTCGCCTGATGAGCCACCCGCTGAGCTGCCGGTTTCTTGTTTGGTGAGGAGGTTGTGGTAGGACCGGGATGAGCTGTCGTACTCTCGATCCGTTCGAGAGCCCTTATCCGCGTTGTCAAAAACTCGTCGAGCTTCTCGAACGTGGGATACTCTTGCGTCGCTCCGACCGAGTTCTCCCACTGCTCGCGCGTCACGCGATCTAAGAGTCGCGTGGCCTGGTACACCACTGCGCAATCCCCGAGCTTGTCCGTCACCTCGAGGGCCTCCAGTCCCTTGAGCGCTTCCCTGAATCCTGAGACATGTCGATCCAATGCCGCCGCCTTCCGTGGCACCGGGGTTGAGCTGGCAAACAGTTTATCCAGGAGAGCATGGATGAGCAGACGTTTGTTTTCAAAGCGGTCTTTGAGCAGCTTCCAGGACGGCATGAGTGAGTCGCCGGCCATAGTGAAACCTGCGATCGGTTGAGCTGCCGCGCCTTCCACTGACGAACGGAGATAGTGCAATTTCTCGACGTTCGTGAGCTGCTCGTTCTGAAGAATCAGGCTGGTGAAAAGATTCCTGAACGCAGGCCACTCAGTATACTCCCCAGTAAACTTGGGGAGTGAGATGTCCGGCAAGCGTGAGTGCGGCTGTCGAGTTTCGCCGGCCGATGAGCTGGTCTGCGGTTGAGCGGGCTGAGCTGTCAGTGCGTGGCGGAGCACGCCGATGATCCGTCGCGCCTGCAGGTAGCACCGCGACTCGTCGAGGTGAGCATTTCCTGAGAAGTACTCATCGTTGATGAACGCCGCCGGCCAGGAGACCTCTAGGTAGGCGTGTTCCTTGAGGAAGGCCTTGTGCGTTTCCTCGACCTGCTGTTGAAATTGAGAGACCTCCTCGAGCGAGGTCTCCGCTGGGACCACCGGCAGGGCATCGATGAGCTCTTTGAGCAGCGTAATCCGGCCCATCTGAGTCCGAGCCTTCAACGCGAGCTCCGGTGCTAGCCGGGCAGGAGACGCCGTCCTCCCCGACGCGCGGTCTCCCTGCGGCACATCCAACACAGGTGTCTTCGGGCGGTCCGTCTTGCCCGTCTTGTTCTCGTCCGCCATGAGTGAGCGAGGTTAGGATTCTCGCTGGATGGTGAGAATTGAGCCGTACCTGATGAATCACGCGAGAGAATCGTGAGATCACGTGCACAATGAGTGAAACCCGAATTTGAGCGCGCCCCTGATCACGCGAAAAGGCCGTGAGATCACGTGAGCACTGCGCGTTGAGATGAGCCGTCCGAGAGCCTCGCCGCAATCCGGCTCGAAGGACCAAAAAATGTTCGCGAATCCCGCGAGGCGAGTTCGCTGGTTACCGCTGCTGTTGGATGCAGGGTGAGGGGACTTAGCGGTGAGAGGCTCAGGGAACGGATGCACGCTTGATAGGGTGGAAATCACGTGATCGTACCTCGTGTAGATTTGATAGAATTGTCGAGTCCCAGTTTAATAAATGAGAAAAGCTTACAGTGAGCAGCCTATGAATAAGCGGTGAATGAGAAGTCCTTAAATCACTTGCACGGGTCGATATTATTGATCGAACACCGGCCTCGCGATGTAGATGCCCGTGAGCCGTGTCCACGCGGCGCTGGCTTGCGCGATGCGTGGTGAGCCTGAGTCGCCGATGATGCTGTATCCCGAGCTGCCTGAGTCGAGTCGCACTGTTGAGTCCTCCTTTTGTTCACACTGAGTCTAGTCTTCGTTGAGAAAAGTCCACGAGAGCACACTAATGTCTTTAGCACTGCACGACGCGTGTACTTCGTACCGTAGCCATTAGCTCAAAAGGACCGCGGAAACGAGCGTGAAGAAGCGCCGTCGCCTCGCGTCGCGATCGGGCATGCGCGCGCAGCGCCCCTGTGGCGCTGCACGATCTGACCCGGCTGATGCTGCCATCACGCCGGTGACGAACAGACCGAGATTCATAATTGAATCCGGAACAAAAACCCAAATATATCCGCAAGAAGCATTCCTGCTAACAAGGTTATGGGCCCAGGACGGGATCAGACACAATTTGATCAAAAGGTAGAGAGCACTTAACCTAACACCGCGCGGAAAGTCGTTAAGTAATTGCGTAATACATACACGCAATAATGGCTTCGTCATCTATGCAAATTGTTGATCGCATTGACAAATTAAACGGTGCGAATTACTGTTCATGGAAGTTCAACATGAAGATGACGTTAGTACAGTCGGGAGCACTGAGGTTGCGACACTTTTTTTGGATAAGTTTACGAACGCGCAAAAAAATTCAGGATGCGAATCACTGTCCGCGCTCATGCGTGGTGAGTGATCATGGTGCTATCAAATTTGTATATCCAATGTGTAACATAAATTGATATGCCGCGGCAAATCCATAATAAATAACATGATTATTCAGTTGATTCATGTTAACTCGCTGTCGGATCAGATCTTTCGCCGGCTTGTCTCTTGGTTATACTAATGAATAATGTGGGATGATTTCTAAATACAAAAAAAAATAAATATAATAAATATAATTTATAAATAAATAAATAAATTTAAATAAATTTAAATAAATTATGTAAATAAATAAATTTAAATAAAATAAATAAAGAAAGAAATGTAGGGACGCGTTTCTTTTGCCAGTTCCCGTGCCAACATATCGGGGTGCGGCGAATACTTTTTTTTCCCAAACAGCGCGGCGTGAGCACCAACGGCTGGCGACGCGGCGCGTAGCTTTTGTTTTTAGGGAGAGAGAGACGGGTAGAGACAAGTCGAGACGAGTCAGTTTGTTGCGAACAGTCGATGGACACAGTCGGTCCTAAGAAGTTAGTCGAGAACAGTCGATGGACACAGTCGGTCCTAAGACGTACGTAGTCGAAAGTCGTGTCGAATATAAGTCGGTCGAGAGACAGTCGTAAGTCGTGCCGTGTTTTAGTCGCGGTCGAGCGAAGCGGTTAAGTGTGTACCGTGTAAAGAAGCCGAAATATATATACTCTTTGTGTGTTACTCTGATAAACCTGATACGTATCATTCCCGTACCTCCCACCTTTCCGATCTCCCGATCCACTCGTGCCTTACCATGGAAAACGTGTACTACATAAACTTTGGGGGCTCAAGCCGGGATTAGGTCAAGGCAAACGGACAAAGCGAAGGTGAGATACCGGTGCTGGTGCAGTGCGGGGTGAACACGTGTCGCGTGTGAGGTAGACGATTGCGTGTCGACGCATCGCGCTCTCCCGCGAGTACAATATTCTTCAAGAGAGTACAATAGTCGATTTAGTGTGTGTCGGACTGTCGAGAACGGCTACGATGCCTTCCAGAGATCCAAACGATTTTACCGTGCCGGAATTGATTGAAGGAGAGGGGCCTAAATACGAGCGGTACGAAGGCTGTGCTTGTGGCAAGGCTAGACGAAGTTGATCCGTCAAGGAGATGGGCGAGCGTGGCCCGCGGAGACGAGGAGACGCAGGAAGATGGGGCGAGTGGCGTTAACCCGACGGAAGAAGATGGGGCAGCCGGAGGTGTAACCGAATCGAGCGGCGTCGGGAAAAACCCGAGCGCACCGAGTGATGCAATGGACGACGAGATGGCGCGAAGCCGCCGCGAGCTGGAACTTTCGCGACGAGAAATTGCGCTGATGGAACGAGAGCTGGCGATGGCGAGGCGCGAGCTCACTCTGATGCAGGAATCGCGACGTTCGAGCGAGTCCGAAGACGAAAGACAGGCGACGACGCGGAATACGCATACACGGTTAGGTGTGAAGACGGTCGCAGAGCTTCTGAGCTACTTCGACGGAAAGTCGGACGATTATCCCAGTTGGTCGAAGCAGGTGCAAGTGTTGCAGGCGACGTATCGGCTGGATGACGACGAAGCGAAAATTATGGTGGGAATGCGACTGCGAGGGAAGGCGAGAGAGTGGATGCATTCTCGTCCTGAGTTCCTCGAAATGAAGGTGGACGAACTACTAAAGAAGTTCGAAGCCATGTTCCACCATCGGCCAAGCAAGATTGTCGTGCGAAAGATATTATATTTCAAGACCGCGTGTGGAAGAGGGACGAGTCGTTTTCGGATTACTTTCACGACAAAGTAATCAAAGCCAATCGAGTGCCGATAGATGACCAAAACGAGCTCGTCGACCAGATCGTCGAGGGTATACCTGACCAATCACTACGAAACCAAGCGAAGATGCATTGTTTCGACAAGCCCGAGTCGCTGTTACGGGCGTTCGAGAAGCTGAAGTTGCCATCAACGGCCCTAGGAGACAAAGCGCGAGGAAAGCAGCCTAGGACTACGGAGACGACGGGTGACGGCGACAAGCAGCGAAGCGGCCGGCGTGGACGAGAAGGCGCGAAGGAAGGACGCGGGGAGGTGTTTCAACTGCGGCGAGGAAGGTCAGCAGGAATTGTCCGACGAAGAACCGTGGCTTAAAATGTTTCGGATGCGGCGAGCATGGACACATTGCGACGGCATGTCCAAAACGCGAGGCAAAAGGGTCGGTAAAAGATGCGAACCTGGTAGCGCAGTTTAGCACGAAAAAATCCTGCAAGTCGGTAAGAGTGAATAATTATGTTATGACGGCGCTTATCGATACGGGTAGCGATCTAACGTTAATGAGGGCGGAGTGTTTTGTAAAAATAGGCGCGCCCCGCTTGCAAGACGACGAGACAACGTTTCGCGGAATCGGTTCCGATAGCAATAAGACACTGGGTAAATTCACGACGGACGTTTCTATCGACGGAAATTCTTATCCAGTCGCGATATACGTAGTATCGGACGTGTTACTGAAATATGATATGCTCATAGGAGCTGACTTTTTAAACACGGTTAACGTAACGATAAATAAAGGTACCGTACATATTGATAGAGTTAAGGAAGAATCCACCGTCGATCGGGATGTTCCTGAGATATGTCGCATCGAATGCGATGAAGGATCTAACGGCGTAGATCTTACACATATTCCGGATAGCGTGATTAAACGGGAAGTTCAAAGCATGATTGTTAATTACGTTCCTACGAAAACTCGCGAGATAGATGTAAAGATGAATATTATACTAAAAGACGATCAGCCTGTGTATCAGAGAGCGCGTCGATTGGCGCCGGCGGAAAAGGACATTGTGAATACACAAATAGACGAATGGCTTCGAGATAATATCGTACAGCCGTCGCTCTCTGAATACGCGAGTCCGACCGTCTTGGTAAAAAAGAAGGATGGTTCGGCGCGTTTGTGCGTAGACTATCGAAAATTAAATCAAAAATTAGTGAAGGATAGATATCCATTGCCGCTAGTAGAGGATGTATTGGACGCGTTACAAGGGGCAAAAGTCTTTAGCACATTGGATTTAAGAAATGGTTTTTTTCATGTATCGTTGAGCGAGGATAGCCGGAAGTTTACTTCGTTTGTCGTGCCAGATGGACAGTACGAGTTCTTGCGTGTGCCTTTCGGGTTATGCAACTCACCAGCGGTTTTTGCGAAATTCATTAATACTGTATTTCGAGACCTTATTAACAAAAAGATTGTATTAGCTTT